CCGCCCCTGAATGGCGGGGCAGGCGCCGCAGAGGCCCCCCTGCTCTCGCCGCCCGCCAGCCCGCACAGCCGCAGCAAGAAGAAGGGGCTCAAGGCGCGCTGCGGCGGCGGGGCTGGGGCGGCGTTGGGCGCTGTAGGTAGCTCAAACGACCCGGTGCTGCCCACGAGTTGGTCTCCCTTGAGCCGCGGCGGGCAGTTGGGCGCGCCCGCCAATGCGAGCCCGTCTGCGTCGCCGCAGAAAGGTGCGTGGCGCTTTGGCGCGCAGGACGTGGCCGCGGCCGCGAATGGCGGCGCTGTTCCGACGCTGTTGGGCAGCAGCGGCGACGGCGCGAGGACATCAAATTTCATGTTTGGCGGGGCGGTTGCGCATACTGAAGGAGCATAAGGGGAGGGTTGACAGGGGCAAGCATTAAAAGGTCAGGGTGCATCCCTTGAGGCGGGCTGCGGAATCAAGGAAGTGGTGACCCACTTGCGTGAACAGCATCACCAGGTGTTTCAGAGTCAGCAGTCGCAGTTTCATGAGGGAAAAGCCTGCATTGGACAGCTGGCGGTCTGCACGATTGCACTTGCATATGTGAGTTGGCGCAAACGATTTGACGACTGCGATTTGTTGTGTTCACAGGCGAGCTGTCGTAGCTGCAGCTGCGGCTGCCGGATGTCCACACTTTGCCATCCCGCCTGGCAGCATGTCGTTGTGGAAAACTGCTTCCCTGTGCCATAGTGTTGGAAGCTGCCAATGATTGGTCCAGCAACGTTGTAAACTAGTCAAACTGTGCAGGACTCAAGGCAAGTACAGTACTGGCACGCTTGTATCTTGATTTTACCAGAGCGGCTTGCCAGGAAGGTCTTGCCACAGCACAGATGTGTGATTTGCACACTGCACTGCAATCCTAGGGGTATAAAGTAGATGACACAGCCACAGGTGCTGAATAAGTCAAACGTGCCAGCCTTTGACTCCTGCATTGACCTGCCCTGTGCCACCTACAGTCGGCGTGAGCTCTCAGTGTAGCACGGCCCCGGCTTTCCACAGGCCAACCAGGTGGTGCAGCAGCTCGCGCTTGCAGTAAGTGAGGGACATGCACTCTTCGCTGTTGAATTCAGGGTAGGAGCACAGGAAGGCAGTGGTAAGTATACACACTGTCAACCCTACGTTGACGCCAGAATGAATCCGAGGTTCTCCCACTCCAGCCCCGACGACATACTAAGGCGCCTGTGCACACCAACGCACTGAACCTGAATCGTGGAATGTGGCACTACAGGAGATGATGGGCTCATGGGCTTCGGGCTCATGGCAGTGGGTGGTAAGGTCATCACCGCCACAGGCGGTCATGTGACCATGCACTGCTACTATTGGCTGACCACGCGACCAGCCAGCTCAGACTGCCCGTGCCGGCACCCTTGACTGAATCCCATGCCGGCCTATCCTTTGATACACTGTGCGCAAGATCTTCAAGCTGACTCTGAACAGCATTGCTTCTGGGCCGTGCGAGTCGCGGCCGCCCAGCGTAGGTGGTGAGTGACAGCAAAGCGGCTGGGCGGCACCCGGGTGGTCCATGATACACCTTCAGCCCAAAGTGCAAACTCATGCCACATACCAGCGACCAGATTGACCTGAGCTTATAATCCTGTTTTGACGATCCACAACAGACGTACAGGATTGGTTGCGTTGGCCAGGGCACAGTCGACCAGCGTCCACATGCGTTGAGTGCCTGCCACAGCGTGCATACTGGTGTATAGTCCATCTATACATACATTCGTTTCGTTAGGGAGGGATGCCAAGGCACACGTCCAATGGCGCGGGGCAGAAGGACGCCCCTGAGCAAAAGGGGCCCACAAACGGCGCGTCACAGCCCACAGTGGACGATGAAAATGATCATAGCATACGGGACACAGCCGCTGCTGCGGGTGTAGGCATGCCCGTCCGCCGGCGCGGCGCAGCGGCGCACAAGATGCCGCGCTTGGAATCGTTCTCGAACCTGCCGGATTATTTGCGGGACAATGAGTTCATTTTTGGCTCCTACAGACCGCAGCAGAGCCCCTGGAGCAGCCTGCGAACGGTGTGGGGGCTGCACAACGAGACTGGCAACGTCTGGACGCACCTTTTAGGTGGGTCACAGGCGCGCGTGGTGCAGCCACTCGGCTGTCTTTGTGGCCACAATTGCATGCGATCGCGCAACCTGTTGATGAAGCTTCGGCCTTGGCTGGTAGAAGACGTGTACCCATGTGTGGCAGTACCGGCGGAGGGCGGCGC